CACAGAAACACAGACTTGTGACTCTGGGGAGGGCACTTCCAGAGGAGTTTGTTATGCTTCCTGTTAACTAAGCGAGGCCCAGAGAAATGCGTGCTAGGGAGCTAGTAAGAAGCTCTCCTCTTGGTTGAATAACTTTCCATGTGGAATAATTTCAGAGTTCCAGGGGAGTCCCCCGCGGTGAGCATCTCACACAGCCACAGTGCATTGTCACAGCCGAGAACTCAGTCAGGACTTTCGTACGACTCTTACCCTGCTTCATCCGCCGTGGGCCTGAGCAGCTTCCTGTGCCATTAACATTTTGGTGGAATATCATTTGAATGCCATCATTTGAACAAATATATTTTATTGATTTCAGAGAGGAAGGGAGATGGAGAGAGAGAGAGAGACAGACACATCAATGGGAGAGAGAATCGTGGGTCGGCTGCCTCCTGCACGCCCCGCACGGGAGCATGCGTCCTGACCAGGAACCTGACCGTGCGGCCGGGCCCACGTGCTCCTTGGCGCCCGATCTCCTCCTGAGCTCCGAGGAGCAGGAAGCTCATCGAATCGGTCGTCTCTGACTTTGACAAGTTTAACTGATGACAATGCTTTTCTCTGACTGGGCCCTGGGCACAGGGTGAGGTGGCCGTTTAACGAGAGTCTGAACCAAGACAGACTTCCTATCTACAACGAGTGGTAATGAGCCTGCCGCCACCTCCCTCCCTCGGTCCGTCTTCTCTCTGTGACATGTGTCCCCAGCAGGAACATTCCGGATGGCGGCTGGAATGGGCTGTGGGCACCCCCTGCAGTTAGGTGACCGAAGCCCCATCGGAGGGTCTGTCTTTGAGCAGGTCCCCCGGGAACAGGCCCCCCAGGAACAGGCCCCCCCAGCAGGTCCCCGGGGGTGTCTGGGGGCGCCGTGGTGAGGAGCAGAGCCCTCGCCTGCCTGGCCCTCGTGCAGGATGACGTAGCGGTGACTCACCCGCCGCCTGGTGTTTACACTCACACACCAGCTGCTGCTGTTCCATGGCCCTGAGCTCAGGGAGTGACACCCATGACACCCTCTGAGAGCCATTGTCAGCCTCGGTGTCGGGGAGGGCCCGGTGCGCCCACAGAGGGGCGCTCTGCTGGTGTGCTGGCCGGCCGGGCTGAGGCTCGGGGAGCAGGCCCCGCCAGCCCCGGACAGGAGGGGACGGGCGGGAACAGGCAGGTCGCTCAGCCACGCGGCGTCCCCCGGCACAGCCGCCACCGCCCTGCCCGGCACCGCGGGGGGAGGCGATGGCTGACGCCGGCCGGGGGCCTGCAGAGCCGGCTCAGGTGGCTGGCCTGCAGCCGGGCACCTGGCAGGGGTGCCCTGTGGTGCCTGTTTAGAAGCCTCACGGGGGCAGCCGGAGGGCTGGGCAGAGGCCGGACAAGGCCGGGCTGAGGTGTGCCTGCCTCCGCCAGGGTTCCCGCTTCCAGGAGAGGCCAGGCCACTGGCGGCGAGGGGCCGGCCGCCCCCACAGCAGGTGCCGGCCCTGGCAGTTCTGCCTCCGACGCCCCGAGCGGCCTGAGCCGTCCCCTGTGCCCTGAGCGTCATTCACAGGAGGAGGGGGCAGGTCCTGCCAGGTCTCCGGCCACTGGCATTCCGTGGGCTCAGATACCACATGGCACACGTGGCCCTCATCCGGCAGTGCCCCTGCGTGCTGTGTCCTCGTGGCCCCTGGGAAGAGAAACGGCCCCCAGTGCCTCTCCCCGAGCAGCCAGCCGCGCCCGGGCTGGTCCTGCTGGTCCAGGCACCTCAGCACAGGGGTGTGGGGGGGGTGGGGGGGGGAGAAGGGGAGACAGGGGCAGCTGACCCCGGCCAGCAGAGCACCCGCCCTCGGGGCCGGCTGGCGCGCCGCTCCTGCGCTGGCCCGTCTCAGGGACGGAGTGGGCTCTGCGGGAAAGGCGGGGCAGCCACGCGGGGCTCGGGCCGCCGGGCCTCTGGGTCCTCACGGCTCAGATGTGGCAGGAGAAGCCGCACCGACTGGCAAAGAGGGTCCTGCACCTGCCGTCTGCTCCACGCGAGCAGCTCTGGTTTAGGAAAACGTGATGTTCCGACTGGTGGCCGCGGAGCCTGCTCCAGCGAAGGCCTACTGTGCACAGGAGAAGGCCTACTTGCGCAGGGAAAGGCCTACGTGTGCAGGGAAAGGCCTACTGTGCGCAGGGAAAGGCCTACTGTGCGCAGGGGAAGGCCTACTGTGCGCAGGGGAAGGCCTACGTGTGCAGGGGAAGGCCTACTGTGCGCAGGGGAAGGCCTACTCTGCGCAGGGGAAGGCCTACGTGTGCAGGGAAGGCCTACTCTGCGCAGGGGGAGGGCGCAGAGCCAGCAGAGTACTGGTCGCTGCGCGCTGGGAAAAAGCATCGACTTAGCGGCTCCTACTCCCGCCACTGGTTCCTGCCTGTTCCCGCATCGCTGGGCGGGGAGGGAGTCGCCAGCCGCCCCGCCTGCCTGGGGAGGAGCGGCAGGCCCCGGCGGCCAGGGTGGCCCGGCGTTAATGACCGTGGAGCAGGGCGATGCTGTCCGCCTCGGAGAGGGGCTACTCTCCCCGGGACACGAGCTTCCACGTGGCATGTCCATGGGTCACAGTCTCCCCCGGTGTCGTCAGCTCCCTCACAGGCCGCGACAGGCATCGCGGGCCAGGGCGTCCCAGAGGCTGTTTACCACCTGCTCACCCGCCTCCACCGCGACCGACCTGCACTGTACTCCCCACGCCGCAGGGCCTTCCCCGAGGCCGGCCCCGCCCCGTTATCAGCGGAGGGCCCCTCCCTATTGCTCTGGCCTTCCTGCCCCGGGGGAGATGGTTTGGGGATGTGGAGGCTGCCAGGGGCTGGGGCTGGGGTCCCGGAGGCTGGGGCTGGGGTCCCGGGGGCTGGGGTCCAGGGGCTGGGGCTGGGGTCCGGGGGCTGGGGTTGGGGTCCGGGGGCTGGGGCTGGGGTCTGGGTCCGGGGTCTGGGGCTGGGGTCCGGGGTCTGGGTCTGGGGCTGGGGTCCGGGGGCTGGGGTCCAGGGACTGAGGCTGGGGTCGGGGGGCTGGGTTAGGGTCCAGGGGCTGGGGGTTGGGGGGCTGGGGTCTGGGGGCTGGGGTTGGGGTCCAGAGGCTGGGGGTTGGGGTCCAGGGGCTGGGGGTTGGGGTCCGGGGGCTGGGGTTGGGGTCCCGGGACTGGCTCTGGGATCCGGGGGCTGGGGTCCGGGGCTGGGGGTTTGGGTCCAGGAGCTGGGGTCCAGGGGCTGGGGTCCAGGTCCGGGGGCTGGGGGTTGGGGTCAGGGGGCTGGGGTCCCGGGATTGGGGTCCAGGGGCTGGGGTCCAGGTCCGGGGGCTGGGTTGAGGTTGGGGGGCTGGGGTTGGAGTCCCAGGACTGGCGCTGGGGTCCGGAGGCTGGGGCTGGGGTCCGGGGGCTGGGGTTGGGGTCCGGGGCTGGAGTTTAGGGTCTCAGGGGCTGGGGCTGGAGTCCGGGGGTAGGAGTTATGGTCCCGGTGTAATTGCTTCTCTAACCCACCAGGAACATGTGTGCAGGGAGCACCTGACCTGGCTTTGACTTAGTTGCCGATTTTCCTTTCTCTCTCTGTCCCTGGTCAAGATGCAGGCCAGCGAGGATGGGCATGGACACAGCGGGCCCCATGGGAACCACTTGTTAGAGGAGGGGCTGGGGGTGGGGTCCAGCAGAACAGTCCCTCTGCGCTGTGTGTGAGCCTAAAGCACGGCCCTCCGCCTCCTCCTGCCCGGCCTCCGGGCACCAGCCGGACCACAGGAAGCCCTCGCTGTGGGCTCCTCCCCTCCCTGCAGAAGCCGGGCTGCCCGCCTCTGTGCCCCCCCGACGGGAGGTTCCCCCGGTGACTGAGGGCGTTCACCCTGCAGGGGAGCGAGTCCCTGCCAGACCCTCCCGGGCTCTCCACCTGCCGGCAAGACGGGGCCCAGGCCGCCATTTCCCCAGACAAGGCCCCGGCTTAGGGGACAGTGGGGCGGGGGGGGGGGGGGGGGGGGGCACAGCGGGTGCCAGTGTTTCAAGCTCCACCAGGGAGAGAGAAAAGGTGCATTTCTGAGGCAGAGGGGAGGCTGATCACCGGGTTTTATTTAACCTTTTTTTTTTTCAGAAGAGGAGGTTGCAGTGAAAAAAAGCCATGGGCCAAGGCGGCTCAGAGCCTCCCCAAGAATGCCCTCTTCCCTCCCCCTCCCCTGCCCCTGGGCTCAACCCTGAACCCCGGCTGGCTGTGCGCCCACCAGGGCACCGGGCATTTGACTGACAAATACGCAGCTGCACCATCAGGCCTCCGCGGCTTTATTGTGAGGTTTTCTCAGCCCAGCGTCCCAGGGAGAACAGACCAGCGGAAAGGCGGCCGCGACCCCCAGCCACCGCCTTCCCGGAGCAGAGCGGGCGGGCCGGGCCAGCACCGGTCAGCCCTGGGAGGCCAAGGCGCAGGGCCACCCCTGGGGCCGCCGCGGGGCGCCGGGGGCCAGGGAGCTGCGCGGGGGGCGGCCTCGGTTGCAGACCCGGCCGCGGCCCCCCCTTCAGGCCGGGACCAGGCGGTCCAGTTCCCGCGGTTCCAGAACCAGGGCTCAGAGCGGGTCAGCGAGCCCGGCGCCCGGCTGTGCGACCTGAACAGGGGCCGATCCTAGCGGAGCCTCTTCCCGAACCCGCACCCCGGACCCTGCCGTCCGGAGGGAGCTGCGCCCGGACACTCAGCCCCGCGGACAGGGTCGGCTGGAGGGGGGCGCCTGGGCCTCTGGGGGGGGGGGCGCAGGCACAGACCCTCCCCCGGGAGCCGGCCCCGCTGCACCCGGCGAGCCCGGCCCGAACGCCGCCCCGCGCAGCTCCCGGGGCCGGCGCGCAGCTGCCCGCGGCGCTGGGTGACACGCGGCGCCCGCGCTTCGTCCACAGCCGCTCGGGTCACCTCCATCCCGCGGGCGGGGGCGCCGGGAGCCCCTCCTCCGGGCCGGGAGGTCCCCCAGGGCTCCCGGGCGGGCCCCGCGGTCCGGGGTGCGGGGCGGGGCTGGGCGCTCACGTGGAGAACGGCGCGGGCAGGGCGGCCAGGCCCAGGCCGGCGGGCACCAGGGCCAGGAGCCTGCAGGCGGCGCAGGGGCAGAGGCCCGGGCCCCCCGCCCCGCCCGGGAGCGCGCAGGGGCCGCACGGAGGCCCCTCCAGCGCCAGCGCCGGGCACGCGGCGGGGGCCCCCGGGGCGGCGGGGGGCGCGGGCAGCAGGGGCCCCGGGGCGGCGGGGGGCGCGGGCAGCAGGGGCCCCGGGGCGGCGGGGGGCCCCCCGGGGGGCGCGGGCAGCAGGGGCCCCGGGCCGGCCAGCAGCAGGCGCAGCCCCCGCAGCGCGCGGCCCAGCAGCAGGATGCGGTCCCGCGCCAGCAGCAGCGTGGCCGCCTTGGAGAGCCTGCGGGCCGGGCGGGCCGCCGCGGGGGGCAGCAGCACCTCGCGCAGCGCGTCCATGGCCGCGTTCAGGTCCCGCATGCGCCTCCGCTCGCGGCTGTTGATCCTGCGCCTCAGCTGCTGCTGCTCCCGGGGGGCCGCCCCGGGGCCGCCGAACGCGCCCCGCCCCGCGCCCCGGCCCGGGGGCTCGGCGGGCGCCTCGGCCTCCCCGCGCGCGGGCTTGGGGGGCGGGGGCGCCGCCGCGCGGGCGGAGGAGGCGGAGGGCGGCGGCCGGAACCCCGCCCGGTCGCACCCGGAGCCTCCGGGCCGCGGCGGCCGCAGCGTGGGGGGGGGCCGCATGGAGCACCGGGCGGTCGGGCCGGAGGGCGCCTGCGGGACCGCCCCGGGGTGGCCCTGGCCGCGCGGGAGCCCACGGCGGGCAGCGGGCGGCGCCGCGCGGACCCTTTAAACGCGGCTCCGGAGCCCGCACCGCCGGCCCAGCCAATCGCCGCGCGAGGCCTGGCGCAGCGCGCGCTCATTGGTCTCTGGGCGCGGGGGCGTGGCTGCACCGGAGGAGGTGAGGGCGGGTCACCGGGAGCACCCCCTGGGCGGAGGGACCCTGGGAGCACCCCCTGGGCGGAGTGGGCACCCCCTGGGCGGAGGGACCCCCGGGAGCACCCCCTGGGCGGAGTGGGCACCCCCTGGGCGGAGGGACCCCCGGGAGCACCCCCTGGGCGGAGGGACCCCGGGAGCAACCCCTGGGCGGAGGGAGCCAGGAGCACCCCCTGGGCGGAGGGACCCCGGGAGCACCCCCTGGGCGCAGGGAGCCGGGAGCACCCCCTGGGCGGAGTGGGCACCCCCTGGGGGCTCCAGCCGCACCGGGGAGCTGAGGTCCGTGCCCCCCTCGCAGCCTGGCTTTGGGGACAATGCATACAACGTGCTTACTTACATGTGGCCACTCCGCATGACTGAAACACCCCCCCACCCGCCGGTGAGTGTGGGCTCGTGGTGTGAGCGCATTCCCCCTGTGCAGCCCGCCCGCAGCCCCTGCACTCAAACCCACACTGAGCCCACTGAGCTGCTGTTACCCCGGCCCCGGCCCCCTCCTTCCCGCTGGGGACCGGACCGCGGCACCCTGCGCCCCGTCCTGTCTGTCATGGGTCATGGAGGACACGCGGGCTGCGAGCCTGCACACAGGAATGCGGCCCCGTGTTTCTTTGCAAACCACCTGACTGCCTGCCCGGTCGGAAGGTCACTGGCTGTAACTCCCGCCTGGTTTTGAGGACAGAGTGTGGGCTCCGGGGCCAGCAGCACCAGGTGGGGCCTGCCCACCCCCTCCCGCCTCCCTCCGGCTCAGGGCCAAGGGCTTGGGGTTTGGGTTTCTTTCTGCCCCAAGGGAGTGTGTCCCCCTCGTCAGTGACTGGCTCTGGCTTAAGGGATCTCGTCTGGAGAAAACATGCACTCACACTCACACACACTCACTGTATGTGTCTGTATGTGTGGGAGTGTGTGTGTGCATGACACACACATTCACACACACACACTCCCACACATGCTCATTCACATAAACACTCCCACACACTCTCAGATACACACTCACAGACTCACACATATACACACTCATACTCACACACTCACACTCATACACACTCTCACACTCACACTCACACTCACACTCACACACTCATACACACTCTCACACTCACACTCACACTCACACACACTGCTGAGCCACACCAGCCGGCGAGCTCGCTGTTAAATCTATGGGAGGCTTATTCTGTTCTATTGTGAGTAAATGCATGTGGACCTTGCTCTAATAAAGTTTACTACTTAAGACTGTTTTTAAATCCGGATTTGTCCTGTGACCTGTTTTCCTATGGAAAATAGAAGTGGGGAAATAAGTTGGGTGAGAATTTTTCAGATTTAAAAACAATAGTGATAAAAGCTCGACTTGGCTGTGGTGATGGCGCTCCCAGCTCAGATGGAAGTTCCTGTTGCTCCTGAGCGTGCCCGGCACTGAAGCTGCACGTGTCGCAGCAGCGCACTCAGCTCTCCCTGCGCGTCTGCAGAGAATCCTCTGTGAGAGGATGTCACAGAGTCACCGCGAAGCAGGAGGGCGAGGCAGAGCCTGCCTCTGTGTTAGATATCATCGCAGAGAGCTCCTGCCACTCAGAATGTAAAAGCACGTTGGCCGGAGCCAGGGACCCTCTCAGCGCCTGTGACGGGAATGACCATGAATTAAGGTGCATACAGTAGGCTCTGGCTGGTAGTTCAGTGGTTAGTGTCTGCCCAAGCACCAAAGGGCCAAGGGTCCAATTCCCGGTCAAGGGCACAGGCCTGGGTTTCGGGTTTGGCCCCTGGCCCTGGGCAGGCACATGCAGGAGGCAACCGGTGACGTGTCGCCCCCCTCCCACCCCCCTCCACGCTCTCTCGGAGGAAAAGACGCCGCTGGGTGCGGGTCAGCACAGAGCGGCGCGTTAGCACCAGCGCTCGGCGGCCTGGGGTTGGTTTGGGACAGAGCTGGAGTCAGGGGTGGGAGCCAAGCGCTCGGAAGGCGGCCGCTGCGGAGAAAAGGCACAATTTGCTTGGAGCCTGTGGCTAATTTCTAGCACAAAGGGCCGTGTCATGGCGGTGCCGGTGCCAGCGTTTGGCAGTTTCCCCGGCCCCGGGCCTGAGGGGCCTCCCGCCCGCCCCGCCCGCAGAGGCTCGGAGCCCACACAGCCTTTCACAGGCGCGCTCAAAGGCGCCGGGAACAAAGGTGGCTCTGAAGTCACTTCCCGCCCGGGCGGCCATCCGGTGGCGTCCTCCCCATTGACCGGCGGCACCGGCAGGAAGCCGGGAAAGCAGGCCGACGTGCCGCTCAGAACCAGGCCCGGCTTTCAGCGCGGTGAATGGGGATCACGGGGCCTGGAAGGTGACAAAATCGGGGCCACCCGAGTGTGGGCGCCAGGGCCCGAGGCACCTGCAGAGACAGAAGGTTCTGGAAGCCAGCTCGGCCGGCAGACACCCTGTGAGGCACAGAGGGGCTGTTCGGAGGCTCACCTGCTGCTCCCCGCTGGCACCGGGCCCTCCCCTCGGTGCCAGCGCAGCACCGTCCGGCTCCGGTCAGACCACCCGGGAGCAGCAGGGAGCCGGCCAGCCAAGGAGCAGGAGCTGGAGGCCTGCCCGCCTCTCCGGGGCCTGACCTGGAACCGCCCCCCGCGGTGGCGGGACTACGGGGGGGAGAGGGGGGGAAGGCAGCCTCTTCCCGCCTCGTCCAGGCCCTGGCTCCCGGCTCAGCCCGCTGACGGCTCCCGGCTCCAGGGAGGAGCCTGCCCTCGGGCCGGGCTGGGGAATGGACCTGGCCTGTGGCTGTGGCCATGCTCAGGGCAGCCTCAGTTTGCTCCTCTATGAGCTGGGGGCACCGGTGTTGTCTCCAGGGTGTGAGGGCCAGGAGGCGCAGTGCCCACTGCGCCCGCCCCAGAGCCCAGAGCCGGGCGCCCAGTCCCTGCAGCAGTGCTCACTCACCCTATGGGCGCCTCCACCTGCCGGCGGGGCCTGGGCTTCCCAGCTTCCTGTTGTGTCTGTCTGTCTGTCTGCCCTTCACCCGAGGGTATTTTCCCGTAGGTCTTTAGAGTGGAGGGGAGAGGGAGAGACAGACAGACACCATGTGAGAGAGACACCCTGACCAGGGCCAGGAGGAGCCTGCGACCAGGGCCTGTGCCCTTGGCCAGAACTGGGCCCAGGACCCCCGGCCCACAGGGACGCTCCCTCCACGGAGCCGCGCGGCCGGGCTGCGTTTCGGTGTCCGTGCGGGCGGGGCCGCGTCTCAGCCCGGTGCGGTGAGCACAGCCCTCGGCGTCAGGAACACCGTCACCTGGCCGCCCCGTCCCCCCGCCCGCTGCGCACTGAGGACCCTCCCTCTGGCTCTGTGCGGTCCCACCGTGCGACTCTGTCTGTGAACTGCCCCCCTGAGTCCCAGGGGCCACGTGCTAAGGAGGTCGTCTCCGTGGGACTGACCCCAGCACAACCCTGGACGCCGCCCGAGGGCCCTGCCCGCCAACTGGGCGGCGGCCACCTGGCCGGGGACTCAGGACATCCCTCCACGGAGCCATGCTGGCCTGCCAGAGCTCTTTTTATTTTTATTTTATTTATTTTTAAAGTATATTTTATTGATTTTTTTTTATAGAGAGAAAAGGAGAGGGATAGAGAGTTTGAAACATCGATCAGCTGCCTCCTGTACACACCCCACTGGGGATGTGCCTGCAACCAACGTACATGCCCTTGACCGGAATCAAACCTGGGACCTTTCAGTCCACAGACCGATGCTCTATCCACTGAGCCACACCAGTTAGGGCAAGGATAGAAACATCAATGATAAGGGAGAATCATTGATTGGCTGCCTCTTGTATGTACGCCCCCTACTGGGGATCTAGCCTGAACCCAGGCATGTGCCCTTGACCGGAATCCAACCTGGGACCTTTCAGTTTGCAGACTGACGCTCTATCCACAGAGCTCTTGCTTAAGCCCGGGTGTGTGTGTGTGTGTGTGTGTGTGTGTGTGTGAGTGTGTGTGTGAGTGTGTGTGTGAGTGAGACCAGCGGAGCAGGCTGCCCCCACTGCCGAGCTAACACTGTGGGGCGGGGAGGGGTGGTACGGGGAGGGCGGCTCTGTGAACGCAGCCTGGAACCTACACGTGAGTGACCGTGGTAGTTCCTCCCGCCCCGGGCCCCGTGGCCTGGTAGCCTCAGGGCAGAGGCAGCTCCTGGCACCCGACGTGATGCCGCCGTTTGAATGAGGAGAGAGAGAGACATGGGCTTGTCCCACTCACTTATGCATTCGTTGGTTGCTTCTTGCGTGTGCCCTGACCAGAGGTCGAACCCGCAACCTTGGCGGGCCCTGCGGGGAGAGGCGGCGGCGCCGGCTCCGGTGACGCTGTGCCACGTGCCTCTCGGGGGCGTCGGAGACGGCGCGCGGGGGCCGGCTCCCGGGGGTCTCGTTAGGGCGGGTCTGGTCGGCAGGTTGGGGGCTGAGGTTCTGCTCCCGGAGGAGGCCGCCAGCTGAGCCCGCTCTGAGCTGCCCGGCGGGTCCCCTGTAGGAAACGGGCCTCTCGGCAGAACACGCGGGTCTCAGCCACGGTTAGAGAAAGAGCCAGGGCCCCCAGGGTGGCTCCGTGGACAGAGCGATGGCCTGTGGACGGAGGGCCCCAGGTTTGATTCTGGCCAAGGGCACAGGCCTGGCTGCAGTGGGGGGCGTGCAGGGGGCAGCTGATCAATGATTCCCTCTCAGCATGGATGCTTCTCTCTCTCTCCTTTCGCTCTTCCTCTCTGAAATCAATAAAGAAATATATTTTTTAAAAGGAGGAAAGAAAGCCATGTGGGT